GATGATCCTGGAACATTCCATGGTCCTGGGCAACAAGAAGTCACCAAAGACTGTTATGGTCACATCAGAAGGACGCTAGAGCCAATCTCATTAAGTTCCACCAGCCAAGGATGGGGTGGTCGACCGTCTATAAAGATAAGAACTGCACTGATTCTGATGCATCAGACATGTTAAAATCTGTAAAATTATGATGGTTCTCGAAGATTAAAAACTTAACTCGTCACCTCTGGAGGATGCTAGGGAACCACCTTGTTATTTTGAAAATTAGTAAGTAAAGGAAAAGACTCAACCAACTAAAAACTGCAGCCACACATTCATTTTTGTCCCGTTGATAGATTACAAGCAAAAGCAGCAAGACAAGACAGACTCCATTTTGAGTGTTTTCATCCTGTTATTTTTGTCTGTGGCTTCAGACGTGGCTCACAGCTGCCTGCTTCCAGGATACAAGTGCCGGGAGCACATTATGTTCGGATGTGAACAAATCCTGGGTGCTTGCGGTTCCCGCTCTGTTGCTGACCTCCCTGCTTCGTCAGGTGGGGGCAGTGGCTCCCCGCTGTACCCCCCCCCCCACACACACACACTGCCTGCCCCCCTGCTCACCGCTGGACTTATCAGTGACTTTACTAGAAGCTGTGTCGTTCTGTGTTTGTTTATTTTCATCCTATGCTTAATGTCATGAAGGAGGAAGTGTAATTCATAGGTGACGGATTAGTTTTCTGCACATACACTCCCCCAGTGAATTCATTTTGTGTTAAATAATTAGGTAATTGGTGTGGTGCTGCACTGAGCCTTGACTCCCCTGACGAGCACGAGTGTTTTGTCTAATTGTATTATGTCAAATAGCTGTCCGTAAACAGAAGTACTTCCGAGCTGGTGTAGAATGTTGACATAAAAATACTCTCTATTTAGGGTGACTATCCCCGAGATACTGTCGGACATCTGAGATCCCTCACTGATCATGTGTAGCGTTTTGTGTCATAATGCCCCGTGGTTTAGGAACCTCCACGTGCACGGCTCTTTGCTCAAAGCTGTTCATATTAACTGAGAAAGGCAAACCAAACAGGTCACGTCATTTTTATAAAGTTCGAGATCACAAATTTTATATGACTGGGAGGAGCATGGGGAAGTCGCCCCCAGCTCCACCCCCAGTCTTTGCCGCAAACTGATTGCAGCATAGGAAACTGAGCCAGAGAAGTTTTCACCAGATAGTTTTCCTAAAGACAGAATTTCCGTGGGAGTGAGTGAATTAAATAATGTATTTGTGTAATTATTTAAGAGTGCCTCTTTCAGCAAATGATACTTGGAAAACTGGACAATCCACCTGCAAAAGAATGAAGCTGGACCCTTACCTTACACCGCGTATTAGAATTAGCCCAAAATGGATCAAAGACCTTAATGTCAGTTTTGAAACTGTAAAACTCTTAGAAGAAAACAGTGCAAGAACTTTGTGACATTGGATTTGGCAATGATTTCTTGGATACAACACCAAAAGCACAGGCAATATAAGAAAAAAAAATTGGATTTCATCAAAATTAAAATTAAAATTAAAAGCACTTTTGTGCTTCAAAGGACAATCAACAGAGTGAAAAGGCAGTCCATGGAATGAGAAGAAATATTTGCAAATCATCTATCTGATAAACGGTTACTATCCAGAATACATACAGAACCCCTTCATCTCAACAACAACAAAAAAAAACCCATTTAAAAAATGGACAAAGGACTTAAATAGATGTTTCTCTGAAGAAGATACACAAATGGCCAAGAAGCAGATGAAAAGAAGTTCAACACGACTAGTTGTTAGGGAAATGTAAATCAAAAACCACAGTGAGGTACAATTTCACACCAGTTAGGATGCTTACCATCAAGCCCTCCCTCCCCCCTTCAAAAAAAATACCAACACCCCTGAAAATTGCAAATGTTGCTGAGAATGTGGAGAAATTGGAATCCTTGTACCCTGTTGATAAGAATGTAAAATGGTGCAGCTACCGGGAAAACGGTATGGCTGTTCCTCAAAAAAGTTAAACCTAGATTTACTGTATGATCTAACAGCTCTACCTCTGGGTATCTACCCAAGAGAATAAGAAAGCAGGGTTTCAAAGAGGTACTTGTACGCGCATATGCATAGCAGCATTACTCTTGATAGTTGAAAGGTGGAAACGATCCAAGTGTCCATCACCGGGTCAGTGGATAAATAAGACGTGGTATTCATACAGTGGAATATTACTGAGCCTTAAAAGGAAACGCGGACACACCACAGCAGGGTGAGCCTGGAGCACGGTATGCTTTAGTGCAGTAAAACCAGACACAGAAGGACAAGCGGCCGTCACGGCCCACTTACATGAGGTTCCTAGGGCAGATGGCTTGCGATGTCCCCCCAAACGCTGAGTCTCAGGTGCAGTGTTAGTTGGTGAGCCAAGGTGCGGGTTTTCCCAGCTCCTCTGATGCGTCGTTTCCGGCAAGAACAGAAAGCCCCCTTCCCCTTGTCTTTCGACCCTCGCTCAGGCCACGACCTCCAGCAGATCGTTCTGGCCCTCGCCCATGTCACCGAGCAGAGCTTGAGTTATGTGCCGTTCAGCTCAGGGCAGTGGATGTGTTTTCTGGTCTTCGTTTCATTACTGTTCCTGTCTTTAATTTCTACAAAGCCTTCGTTCGTGGAGAACGATGCTCTGAACGAAATGAAATAACGAATGGGTGTAAGCTTGGCCGCCTTGCAAGACTCGAGTTTCGGTTGAATAACAAGTGCGGCATTAGCAACGATCCCTCAAGCTCACATTTGTTAATTTTGACCAGTCTACATCAAACTTTCCACAGAACGTGAAAGAGAATCATTTCCTAGTGTTGTGCTCATCGTGAATACGATGTCCGTACATTCTCATGAATCCATCTCATGAAAGTTCCCATCTGCTCCATGAGGAAATACTGGGTTGTATTATTGGTATCTCTGTTCTCATCAGCTGCCATTGGAAACGCCATAGATAACTTGCCCTTTTCCCTGGTGCTTGTCCCGTGCGTTCTCAGACCTGTCTTTACCAGGCCAAGCAACGTCGTCGCTGTTCACAGTTAGATTCAAGTTTGTCAGTGCTTCATTTTTTTTCAGACGCACATTTTATGCCTTATCAAGTAAAACACTTATAAACTCACCATCTCTAATTGAACAGTATAAACAATAACTGTAGTCTACAGAAGCCCTACTCATTTTATTTACATTCAAAACCAATCCTTATTGAAAATATCAGTCCTTTCCCAGTTCGTTGAGGTTTGTGTTTGTTTCTCTTTTTTTCTACATCACCCACATTTTCTAAATAGCTGCACATGGTTCTTAACATAGTTGCTTAATAATAGCATCTTAAATTGTGTTCTTCCAATGCAGACATGCTTTATTCGTTAAAAACGTAGGAAGATACTTCATTACTAAAGGGAAACATGCTTTCTGTAACTTGTGATCTTTATTTTTCATTGTGCCACTTTTGATTGAGGTGAGAATAAGAAAGATCTCGGTTTTCTTTTAAATTTTATTTATTTTGAGAGAGAGAGAGAGAGAGAGAGAGAGAAGATGCATATGTGAGTGGGGGAGGGCGCAGAGAGAGAGAATCCCAAGCTGGCTCCAGGGGGTCAGTGCAGAGCCCCATGCGGGGCTTGAACTCACAAACCATGAGAGTGTGGCCCAAGCTGAATTCAAGAGTCGGATGCTCAACTGACTGAGCCACCCAGGCGCCCCTCCTTTCAAAGTTGTCTCACAGAAAGCAGAGCTTGTCAGGCTAAAGTCCTGGCAACAGAGGAGAGGGGCTGTGGCCACATGGATGTGTTGTGTCTCAAATGGCCCTCCCGGTGGAAATCAGTTCCCACCTGAAACCTCCACCCATTTTTTAAATGTTGGCAACTAATACATAAAAATAAAATTCTAAACTTTGCGGGCCAAACAAAACACAGTGACCTCGTCTGGGTGGCAGGCTGTCACCTTGCTTTTTCTCTGCAGCTTGACAGTCGCTCTGCTCCCCTGCTTCCTGGCCACCAGTGCCCTTGGGCAGCCCAGCGGCTGTCTTCAGAATGAGATTTATGGGAATCCTAACGTAGCTGCTTCCATATTCTTCTTGGTAGAAATGAAAGCTGCCGAATAAGGACATTACCTGTTTTTGCCCAGCCTTCTTTTTAACGAGATCCTGGCCTCATCACTAGTAGGTAGCAGAGCAGAGCTCTAGATGGATCTGGTGGGTAGTGCGCCAGGAGTGACGAGGACTCTCTACCAGCACCGAGTTGTCTCACGAAGATTTATGTAGCTTTATTTTTATTAAATTAAAATCAGTTTGCAGTTCGTTTACCGTCAGCGATTCCTTAAGAAGCACATGAGTTATGGGGCGCGTGGGTGGCTCAGTGGGTTAAGCATCCAACTTCAGCTCAGGTCATGACCTCACGGTTCGTGGCTTCGAGCCCTGCTGACAGCTTGGAGCCTGGAGCCTACTTTGGATTTTGTGTCTCCCTCTCTCTCTGCCCCTCTCCTGCTCACACTCTGTCTCTCTCTCTTTCTATCTCTCTCAAAAATGAATATACGTTAAAAAATTTAAAAAAAGAAGCACATGAGTTAGATTTCAGGCTTGGACAAGTTTTATCCAAAGTTAATGAAAGGTGCCCCACCTTATGGACCTGTCATCCCTCTGGGTGAAATGCGCTAAGGGACAGTATTGCTTGCCCACTGCTATGCGTCACAAGGCTCCTGACGTGGTGATGATTGTGGATTCGATTTGGGAACACACCAGCTGTGTTACAAGGAATAAATAGAGCCAGAATCCCTTAATAATTACAGAAGGTACTCCAGTTCTTTTTTGGGGATTTTTAATTTTATAAACTAATTGCATTCTGCTTTGAAGTAGTTTTCTACCTACTACTTTTGACATGTAAGCTTCTGGCCCTGGTTTGCTTGATAAATGAAGAAGCGAAACACTGAAATGCTAAGACTACAAGGTGCGAAATCATTGCCCGCATTTCCCCCATTCTCTCCGCAGGGGGGACGCAGCGCCTGCCGCGCGCTATCGGGATATCGCTGGCCAAAGAGCTCATCTTCTCTGCCCGCGTGCTCGATGGCCAAGAAGCCAAAGCGGTGGGCTTGATCAGCCACGTTCTAGAACAGAACCAGGAGGGGGACGCCGCGTACCGCAAGGCCTTGGACCTAGCAAGAGAGTTTTTACCCCAGGTATTTCTAATTGCATTTCCGTTTTCTCTCTGTTTAAATAACTTTATAGCAAATTGACACAACAGCCCTCTCACATGCCTGTGATCTCCTTGTCCCGCGTGCCAAGTAGAAGAGTACGTGGTAGCCTTAAAACCGGAAACGATTAGCCGCACATGAAGAGCCTTCGGAATTCAAGTTCGAGATGTGAAGAGAAAGTGGGGCCCATACTGTGGCCGCGCTCCGACGACGCGTCCCACGCACGTCGCCACCTGTGACGGAACCTACTGGCGGCTTCTGAGCTGCGCCGTGTACCTGGACAGATGGGGGGAAGCCCGTGGGGACACACGTGCCGGGGAGACCGCGGCCGAGCACGGCAGCGTGGACCGCCCTGGCCGCGGCCGGGTCGGGGCGGCGGCCGTGCGTCTCCCCGGGCGCCGCGTGTGGCGAGTCCTCCCCGCGGTGAAGGCTGCGAGCCCGGAGCAGTGCGCGTGCGCTCGCAAAGGCCGGCGCCGACGAGTGGCGTCGGCCGCTGCGTCGCGGGGCTCGTTCTGGGTGGCTCCGTTCTTTTCTCTCCCGTGTGTTTTTCGCGGACGCCTCGCTTCTGAAATCGCGGATGAGAGGACTTTTGCTGTGTAAGCAGTTAGTGATTTGCCGTCATCCCTAGTGCGGTTTCAAGTTTGGCAGCCCCCTCGCCGGCACCGCAGGCACGATCACTTCCTCTCCAACTGCGCCGCTTGACGCGGACAGGTTGCGGAAGCTGTTTCCGGGGCCGGGGATCCTTCTGGGAATCTCGGGAAGTCTCCCTCCGGAGAGATGCGTCTTCCTCCCGTGTTGGCCCAGAGCTTTGCCTCCCGTTTCGGAGGGCGGTGCCGGAGTGGCCCGTGGCCAGACGAACGCCCGGGTCTGCCGGGACGCGCCTGTCCCCGACCGCGGTTGGGCAGGGCCTCGTGGCGGGGTCGCCCTCTGGAACCACACCGCCTGCCGGGGACCCTTCCCTGCTTCTCACTTAGCTGGCCGTGGGCTCTGTCGGGACGGGGCCCCCGCGTCGTCTGCTCCCCGTGTGAGGAACACGCAGCCCCACACTCGCAGCTGAGAGAGAGCAGATAGGAGAGACTTTCAGTGCTTTAAGGGAAAAACAAAAAGGCTCTCGCTGAAACCTTGGTATTAAAGCTCTAAGACCAACCCACGTCCGCGCTGAAACAAGGGGTGTGGTTAAGAAAGGTCAAGGTTGTGGTGTCCTTCCTGCTCTGCCCTTCACAGCCTCTTCTGCTCATTGGACAGCGGTGCTCAGCTCCCTCCCTCGGCGGCTCTGTGCCTCAGGGCTCATCTCCTGCCGCCCCCGCCCCACCCCTGCCCACGCCTCTCTTGCCAGAGGGCACCGCCTCCCCACCCTCCATCTGACCCCGTGGTGGACCGGGGGTCCTCACCCTCTGTCCCTTTCCTGTGAAGGACGTGCCTCTGAGGACTTTTTCCTTGGGCCAAGGGAGATGCTGCGTGGTCCAGAAAACGTGTAACTGGACGATATGCAAAAGTTACAGAGCAAAATTTGAGGGACGATACTCTTCACGTTTGGTTTTTGTCACTGAATGACGAGTCTTCCAGATAATTGGACCGCTTCTCTAAAACTAGAATTTCCGTTTGATTTCTGTATTGGAAGTCACTTCCGTTTTCCTGTTTGAGAAAAAAGATGTCCAGAAGAAGTGCTGGTTTTGTATTTTGAAAGAAGCCAGTTAAATAAGCATTATCATCTACTAGCCTTTCCATTTTCCTGTCTCTCCAGTTTAGGCAACCTTGCTGCCCAGAGTGTGCTCTGTAGACGAGCAGCCCCGGCGTCCCTCAGAAGCATGTCCCCAGCCCCCGCTGGGCTTTCACAAGGGCCTGGGGGTTTGTGCGCATGGAAGTCGGACAAGCACCTGGTCGGGGTCAGCGGCTAGATACCAGGGAGTAGAGAAGGTTCTCACAGACGGGAGCACCCTGCTTAAAACAACAACAGAAAGGGTTGACGACCTTAAAGAAAATGGTCCTAGTGTGTGTTCCACACGTGCAAGTCACATCGTCAGGAATTCTGAGATACTTGTCCGAGCCTTGAAAACCTGTGGCCTCTGAAAAAGATTATTAATGAGCATGTGACTTCGGAAGGGGATTCAGACGGGTTAAAGGTGACCATTGAAGGCCCTGCGAGGGGAAAGCGACCTTTGCCATGCCTCGTGCCGTTATTTGTTCATTTATGGGTGTCCCCTGTTGCGCCTGGTATTTAGAGCCCATTTTGCATTTTAATTCAAAAGACACTTAAAAAAAAGATACGCTGAATTCTAACTCATCACCCATGAACAGTTTTGAGGAATCTCAGATGTGATCAAACAGCTAAATTCCGTCTGGCGCGTTGTGGTTTTCAAAAACGACAAGAGTTAATGTTCTCCTCCTCACAGAGGACACCTGGTCCTTCCCTCCGTGACCTTCCCTCGTCCTGAAGGACTTCTCTGGGCTGTCAGCTTCCGCGTGGTGTGGGGAACTTGCCTGGAGGGCACATCATCGTCACGCTGGGTCACAGGTGCCCGCGGAGCTCTGGTGTGGAGCCAGTGTCCGGCACGGGTGCTGACGGGAGCCTCCCCTGCAGCCCGCGCTCCCGTCGTGCACCCGGAGCCGTGGTGTTTCGTCGCCTCTTCCTTGCCCTACCTCACCTGTTGGGAGCTTTGCTGGAGAATGGTCAGCCCGCTCCTGGGCACACGGCCCCTGCTGGCCTGCAGGCATGTACAGTTGTCCAGGCAGCAGACTTGTGCCAAGGCCCGAAGGAAATCCCCCCGTTAACCGTCTTATAGCTTTTGTTGCATCTTTGCCACGGGCCCAGCGATGGGAAATTCTGAATTTTACTGAGTTGTACAACATACTTTGCATAAATAGTAATGAAAATCTGTTTCTTTAATTGAATTTTAGGGACCTGTTGCGATGAGAGTGGCAAAATTAGCAATTAATCAAGGGATGGAGGTAAGTGCCTTGCTGCTTGAGATTGCTATTGGAGTCGGTGGTGGAGACTTAATTCCGTTTATTTGTTAATGTTGTAAATCCAGCTATTTCCAGCTCGTTACCGTAAGCTACCGAGGGTATTTTTAGCTGTATTATTGATTTTGTTCTGCCTTAGCTGTTGCCGATCCAGTATCTTCATCACAGAATTAGGGAATTTCACTCATGTCCTGCAGCTTGTGACATGCTGGCTGTTTTTGCCATTCAGCAAAGAGACAGATTTATTGGCTAGTGGCTCATACGAGACCAAAAGAAAAGGGTATCCTGTGTATTCTCAACACCAGTGCTGCATGACGAGAGAGCATTCTAGGAACAACTCCCAAGCTCAGAGCGGAGCCTGGCTCTCTCTACCTATAATTTCTCAACGTGCTTTGTGCAAGGACCCCTCATTAACAAGGCAAGACTTTGGGGCGTCCTGGGGTTACCCTGGGGAGGCGGCTTCCCGGGAGTGGAGGCCCCAGGCCAGGAGAGAAGCAGGCAGGGCAAGGAAGCCATGCAGGTGCCTGTTTACAGCAGGCGTTCGTTGCAACAGATGTTTGGGCTAAATTACGGAATTGTGAAGAAAGAAAGATACTTCTTCCTTGCAGACTCAGAGACCACCATGTCTCTCTGGGCTTCGTAGCCATAAAAAAAGAGATTGAATTTGTTAGCAATAAACACAACCTAAAAAATTTCCCGAGTGTTTGGTTTTTAAGACTTCTTGCATAATCATAACAATACTAATAGCAGATGCCTTCTCGTGCCGGGCCATGCCAGGGTGCTGTATAAAGCCTTCCCCTAGATTAGCTTATTTAATTCTCCCAGTACCCCCACCTGGTAGATGCTGTGGTTAGTCTCTTGTTCAGATGCGCCTGAGGCACAGAGAGCTTATCACCTAACTTACCCAAGGCTACACAGCTCCAACACGGTAGAGTCAGAATTTGAACCCAGGCAGCCTGGTTCCAGAATTCTTATGCTGGTCATACTTTTGATTTGTTGTCTTACATCAATTCTGTTCTTTTGGAAAAGCGTTACTAGTTTGAATTTATATGGAGTGTTCCAGATTTTAAAAAATAATTCCTGCTGAAATTATATTATGTTTTTATTCTCAGGTTGATTTAGTAACAGGATTAGCCATAGAAGAAGCTTGTTATGCTCAGGTATGTAATACAGCCACTAATTCAGTGAGGACACCTCTCACAAATTCTCTGTACCTTCTGCATGAGTCAGATGAATTGTCTCTCTGAACAAGATTACACTCCTGCCCCTTTCAAAACCACGAAGATGGGTTGAAATTAGCTGTGTTTGCTGTTTGACTATTACCAGCTCTTATCCCTGATCCCATTCCATTTACTAATGTCTCTTGTTTACGTAATTTTAAAAACTCTTAATTAAGTTAGTATCGCTCATACTGTAGATGTCTCTCTGGCTCACGTTGTATTTTGTGGAGATGGATTTGAACCCTCACTCTCGTGTAGACAGGTGGGAGGCAGGCAGTGGAGCGAACATGGTCCTGCTGGGGAACATCAGTGTGTGAGATGCATTGTTTCTGAGCCTTCCTTCCTGCCCACTGACAGTGCCCTGATTCACTGTATGCAGTTTTCTGTTCCATACACAAATTAGTAGGGCTTTGTATACAGGAACAAATCTTCCTTTCCTCTCCTTTCCTCTCCTTTCCTCTCCTTTCCTCTCCTTTC